CGTCGAGTTGTGTGGTGGGTTGCGCGTTGACATGCGCGAGTCGGCGCATGTCAAATTGCGCAGTGCGGTGCAGCCAATGTTTTGCGATTTGCGTGTTAAATCGTGGTGCGGTACGGTGCAGTGCGGTGCGGTGCGGTAAGCGGTCCCGAACGAAAAAACAAAAAAAACTCACGCACCGGGATCGAGCCGGCGACCGCGGTTCCCATTCAGTGTCGGAGCTAGCGCACACCACAAGCGGTGAGCGCCGATGCTCCGGCGCGCAATGCGCGGGTCCAGGTGTGGTGCGGTGCGATGCACTGCCACACGCAGTGTGGCGCGGTGCGGTGCAACGCGGTGCAGTGCGGTGCGGCGCGGACACCGAAGCGGTGCACGGCGATGCTCGGGGGCGCATTGCGCGGGCCCAGGCGTGGAGCAGTGCAGTCCGGGACGACGCGGTGTGCAGTGCACGGTCCAGAACGAAAAGAAATGAACAATAAACGACGACGACGCGAAAAACGAACCACGCGACGACGAAGGCAGCGCTCCCGAACGAAAAATATAAGAAAGCGGGCGCCGGGCGACGAAGCCAGCGAGCCGCAACGTAAACGTAAAAAATAGACAAAACGACGCGCCGGCGCCGGGGTCGAACCGGCGACCGGGGCTCCCACTCGACGTCGGAACTACCGCGCCCGACAAAGCGGCACACGGCCATGCTCCGGAGCGCCTTGCGCGTGCCCAGTGCCCAGGTGTGGTGCGGTGCGGTGCCATCCACGTTCGGCGCGCTGCGCCGAACGAAACAACAAAACCGCAAAAAGCGGCGACGACGGCGGGGCGCGAACCGGCGACCGCGGCTCCCACGCGGCGACGGAGCTAGCCTAAAAGGCGCGGCTCCGAAACCGCGGACAAGAAGGCGAAAAACGGCAACTTAGCAAACGGCAACCCGGACGGACGGACGGACGGACGGACACGCGGACGCCCCCCGCAGCCTAAGGTCTCCGTCCCGACGACGGAACGACTAAACGTCGTCCGTCTAACGTCGGGACTACGACTACGTCCGTCTAACGTCGGGACTACGACTACAGACGGACGGCGAACGAGGCGCGGACCCTGCGGTCCCGAGGGTGCCGTAGCTCTCGTTCGGGTCCGGTCTGCATATGCTTGCACATCGCATATGCTTGCAGATCGCATATGCTTGCACATCGCATATGCTTGCAGATCGCATATGCTTGCACATCGCATAATATGCTTGCAGATCGCATCTGATTGCAGATCGTATATGCTTGCAGAGCGCATATGCTTGCACATCGCATATGCTTGCAGATCGCATACGCTTGCACATCCGATATGCTTGCAGAGCGCATACACTTGCAGATCGCATATGCTTGCAGATCGCATATGCTTCCAGATCGCATATGCTTGCGCATCGCATATGCTTGCACATCCCAAATGCTTGCAGATCGCATATGCTTGCAGATCGCATATGCTTGCAGATCGCATATGTTTGCATACTGCATTGCTTGCAGACCACATATGCTTGCAGAGCGCATATGCTTGCACATGCATATGCTTGCAGATCGCATATGCTTGCGGATGCACATCATATGCTTGCAGAGCGCATATGCTTGCAGATTGCATATGCTTGCACATCGCATATGCTTGCAGATCGCATATGCTTGCAGATCACATATGCTTGCAGAGCGCATATGCTTGCACATCGCATATGCTTGCAGATCGCATATGCTTGCAGATCACATATGCTTGCAGATCGCATACGCTTGCACATCCCATATGCTTGCAGAGCGCATATGCTTGCACATCGCATATGCTTGCACACCGCATACGCTTGCAGATCACATATGCTTGCAGAGCGTATATGTTGCACATTGCATATGCTTGCAGATCGCATATGCTTGCACATCGCATATGCTTGCAGATCACATATGCTTGCATACTGCATATGCTTGCATACTGCATATGCTTGCATACTGCATATGCTTGCAGATAGCATAGCATAGCATAGCATAGCGTAGCGTAGCGCAGCATAGCATAGCATAGCATAGCATAGCATAGCATAGCATAGCATAGCATAGCATAGCATAGCATAGCAAGCATAGCATAGCAAGCATAGCAAGCATAGCATAGCATAT